TAGTTTCTAAAAGGTTGTTAACAAAAAACTATACACTTTATGGCACTCCCCGGGAAATTCTACCCCTGTTTCATATATAATTCTTTTAAATTTAGTCAATTATTTCCCGAAAAATTAGAAGAATTAGAAAAATCGGTTTCCAGAAAATCGGTAGCAAAAAAATGGACATTTTCATCCCCGGGAAATTCTACCCCTGTTTCATATACTTTTGGTAAAAATTCGGTCCACTAACGAATGAGTAGTTCGCGTACATACAGACAGACAGACAGACGGACGGTACTTATATATATAGATATGTCACAAAAATTCGAAATTGTGTTAATATATAGCTGAAATTATTAATAATACAAACTAAATACGCTTGATCTAAAACAGATTATTTTAATATTTTATCGCCAACAGAATATGTTTTAATTGAGATTCGCACTATAAAAGTAGTTTTAAAAAAGCTAACTATAATAAGTAAATGTAAAATACACACAGATAAAAGTAATAATTTAATAAAAATTCGATAGATATATAGAATTTGTGAATACAAAATATATCTTATCACAAATTACTCTTTAATATAAAGGTCGGACATAAAATATCTTTCAATATTGTGATTGTAATGAATGATCTACAAAAATGATACAAAATATTCATATTCTGATACTTCATATTCCGAAAAATTAATTATATAAAACAGAGGGAAATATGCAATGTGTAAGATGATGAAAATAAGGATTACCTATAAATAATATTAAATTTTGAAGAATCAACAGATATTTTTATTCCATAGAGTAGTAAATACTGTTTCAATAAAGCTTTTTGTTACAATGCGACATCATTATTTTATATTTTCTATTCAAAGTCAAGCAACGATTTATAATAATATAATTATTATTAAAATTTATGTATCGTTATTAGCAAATAATGTATTTCATATAATGTATCTATTACATAATATATACAACGTACCTATTATATATTAAATTTAAAAAATTCATTCGCATAAGCCCTATATTGAGTGTAATAAACCAAAGTTAGTGCGCTTACAAAAGATATAGTGCGAAAAATATCAAACAACATCAAACCTAATACTATATAAATGATATGTCAATTATATAAAACATTAATATGTCATAAAAGATTTTATCAATAGCTTCCAGACTATTAATAAAATACTAAATATTATAAAAATATTGAAAAGTGTTAGAAATAATTAAAAATGAATAAAATATTCAAAAAACGATAATAATAAATAAAATAATATTGTTTAAAAATTTATGTAGATAATTGTATATCTTACATCACATTTTGTATTTTTGTTTGATCGTATCAATTGGTCACTTAAATTTGAATTTTTCCAAATTACTTTGTAAAAATATTTTTTAACGCTTCAAGATCATTATTACGCTCTTATATCAGATTTATAATGTTTGACAAAGTGTCTGGATCTTGATGGAAATAAGTTTCTGCGAATCTTTTGATCTGAAACAAGATTAGTTATACATGTTTATTAATAATAACATTAATAACTACAGAAGACACACACACACACACACACACACGCGCGCGCACACGGACACGCACACGCACACGCACATATATATATATATATATATATATATATATATATACACAATATATATAATGTATTGTTACGTCCTGCAAACTCCACGATTTCCCTTTTTCGCGGAAATTCCTATGCATCCGAGATAGCTCTTAAAATTAGAATAAGTAAACTAAACTATCTATTTGCCTAAGCGACTAAAAGCGACCTTCCAGATGACGAATTACTGACAGACGGGGCATACGTGACCAGATTTTCATCAGCCTTGTCGGGCCCATAACTATAAACCCGGCGACACGACGCGCCAAAGGAGCCTTAATTCCAGACAAAGTTTGATGAGGATCTTTATTGCATCGAGCGAGCTTTCTAAAATTGCTCGTACGATGTTTCCGACAAACAGAAACAAAGCCTAAGACGTGACTGTAAATACACGTGGCGAAAGTTTCTGTTTGTATCTAAGATTGAGAGGTATGCATTGTCTATCAACATAAAAACAGGGTCGCGAGATAAATAAAAAACCTTAATAAAAAACAAATCGGCGATAGCCGAAAAACAAAATGCGTCACTAGAAGAAGCGATGGGTTGCACCCCCCAATAAAGCAGTAAGGGCCTTACAAGAAGACTCACCAATAAGCAGCCGTAAAAATCGATAACCGTCTTTAGCTCTCCAGGATAGGCAAAAACTTAAAAATCTACCTCTTGGGTGAGAAACATCTCGCCTAATAAGAAATCCTTTAAACAAAAATTAGAAACTCAACACCCCGCCAACCAGAAGTTCTCAAAACGAAAACCAGACACCTCCCACAACGAAATCCACCCTTTCCATCCTTGGAACTTTCCTATATAAATCGCGACATCACGGGACTCGCTCTCTTAGTTCAGCTCCTCTTCAAACAGTTCACCTCTTCACCCCGGTTCATCTCTTACAATTAGATCAAATTCTCTTCCCTCCGGTTCATTTCTCAAGTTCAATTTACTTCCCTTCTCTTCCGTTTTACGAACAGTATTACATTTAATCCGATCTTGAGTTTTAAGTTAAATTCTGTGCGCGAACTTAAACTCATTGAGTATCGACGAGAGCGTATGCACAGGGCCCAAAAAGATCCAGCCAGATTGAACGTAACACATCATCAAGTAGTAAGTCTCGTAATTTTTTTCTCCTTTTTCGGGTTATCGTTCCCCTTTCTATCCTTTTATTTTAAAGATGGTCTATCAACTATCGAATCCTCGGGAGTTTATTGTATAAGGAGTTTATTAGCATCGCGGGTTTGGGTCGATCGGCGTAGGCATTGGATTCGCGGCGGTCGTTGGCGTTGTCGCAGGTCTGGCTGACTTGTCGGCTTTTGACTCCCGGCGTCTTCGTCGCTGTCGTGGACTCGGCCGGTTCGTTGTCACCTTAAGCTCGTAACAATTTCTTTTTTATATATATATATATATATATATATATATACTTCCGAGCGGGTCTGAAGAAGATCGACCACTGCATAAGTAAAATCCAACATAATAGTTATTTTAAAATTAAATGAATTATATTTCCAATAATGTCCTATTAAACGTCAATTAAATCGACGGAATCGACGGAACAAGCTGGTTATGTGATTAGTAAAATCAATCCTAAAACCTTAAATAACTTTAACCTTATTTTAATGGCAGTATCCTTATTTTCTATGCATAAATTCTTGTCTCTCTGTTTTTACCCCGCAAACATCTCTTTATATTTTATTTTTAATTGCGACTTAATTTAGTTTCAAATACACATATACACCATACCCACACTTAATTAAACCATTATGTAATTCAATGCCGATCTCGATGTAATAATAGCGGGCAGGATGTTTATTTCCAAATAGGTTTTCCCTCAAAAATCCTGCCCGGTCACCCCCGCACTAATGTAACACCCGCGAAGAATACACACACGTCACACATACATCCGACACTCACACTTATAAATGTATTCAATTTTATTTTGCCTAATTCTCATTTATTGTTCACTTAGCTTATATTATTGTAATAAATGTTTATCTTATGTTAAATATTAATTTTAATCTGCATTCATTTATAACTTAAGACCCACTACCATCTCCCTCTCAAATTCGCACGAGGTCCGATCCCGAGTTAAAGGGATTAAATTCCCTGACTCAAAAGAGGACCGACGATCGCACCGCTCACGAAAGGCATCCTAGCGTCCTTACGGACGTTGACCCTTCCTGAGTCATAAAAGTGCGTTCGGCTCGTGCCACACGCCTCAGAGCGTGTACCTGCGAGCGACATTTGCAAATATCTAGTTGCGTCCTTCCTTCCCCCGAACCCCTCTGGTTAGCCTTTCCTTTGCTTCCCAGTTTTTCTTATCCTAATCCTGGGGTTGGACGTAACAGTATGTACATGTATATTAAAATTCAGTACTAAATGATCAAATTACAACAAATTACAACAATATTTTTAGAATTATAATTACTACATTATAAAAAATTTAGTTTATATTTTAAACTACGCGCTAGTAGTTATTACTGAATTTGAAACATAGCTTTATAAGATACAAATGTATATAGCCCAAAAATATGAACAGAATTAATTATTAATATTAATTTAATTATGTAAAGTTGCATTAATCTATAATTCCGTACACAACGAACGGTTTTTAGTTTAAGCTACTACAGTTAAAGGATTATTAATAGAAAATCAATAAGTATGTATATAGAATCATAATATCTACCTTAGACGTTTGTTCGCTAGAAAAAACATTCAAAATAATATTCTTTATCGTTAGACTTGTAGGAAGTAATCTGAAAGAACAAAATAAAATATTTATAATTAATGTATAAGATAAAATTATTTAAAAAAATAAAATGTATATTTGTAAAGAGAAATGTATTACTTAGGTTTTATATTATCAAAATTTGCTAATATGTAGTCAAGAACCAAATCATTGCGTGCATGGTTTTCAAGATTGATCTTGAAGATAGAAGCATGCTCGATATCGTTGAATAATGTAGTATTCGATGCTGTAATATTCAAATAGTTGATAATAATGCCAGAATCTTCAGCGCAGCTCAATATTTTCCAAAATTGCTTATCAAGTGTTCGCTGATATAATTCCATCATTTTATCCCATTTAGTCCTAGTAGCCACGGTCAAACCAAAGCAGTACGTCCAATCGCGCCACCAATGTAGAACTCTGAAATTATGTCTATGTAAAAGAGATACATGCATTTTATACGTTTTATTTAATTTATTTTATCAAGTTTCGTGTTTATTTTCCGTTAGGTAACTATTAGGTATTCCATAAAACTAAGTCCCTCGTGTGCTGCTCTATCACTCTATATTTACCACGTGAAAAGACTACGCTACAGTGAATAAATAAATAAAAGATGATTTTATCGATAATGTCACTTTTATTATTTTTAATATACGTATATATTTTTACTTGTGTCGCATGTTTATTCTGTGGATTAGAACAAGAATGGAAATTAAGGAAAAACAATAAAAAGAATGTCTGATTTCGATGACTTGAATATAAAATAAGGAATTAACCATATATATGCATGCATGCATGCATGCATGCGTGCGCATATCCAATACACATGACGCACACAAATACAAATTATGAGATAATCGGGATTATAAGAAGAGTTACTTGTGAGTATCAGGATCCGCGAGATGTTCGCTCAATTTTACGGCGGCTCTTCTTTTGCATTCCGCGTGACCGAAGGTACATGCCCATTTCACGGCTTCTAGCCGTACTATCTTTGTGTTATCGTCATCATTGAAATCTTCTTCGTATCCCACATGCTGAAGAAGCTTATCGAAGATTCCTACCATGCGTGACTAGAAATCATCAAGTAATATTGAATTTTATATTGATTTGTTGGTATTTACGAATTAAGTGACGTGATTCATATATAGATGTACATATTTCGTTAATGCTTTGCTAAAACATTCACTATCATAAGAAGCATCGACGAGCTTGCATCCGACTTTCTCTAATGTCCATGTGTATTAATTATAGATTAACATATTTGCTACCACTAATGTGGGATTAATAAACCGACAGATTTATTTTTAATAGATATGCACAGTATGCTGCACATTTTCACTTACTCATGTGACGCATGGTAAAGAACGTGTTAACTTCAATCTTAGTTTAACTTTATTCGTTTAAATTAATGTAAACGATAAAACATGTAAAATTTGCCGCATAGATGGGGGCAATCGGTACATAACTAGAACGGATATTATTACGCTCACAAAATGATTGTCTTGCTCTTTAATTCGTAAGTGTATATTTAATAGTTTATTATCTATTAATTTTAAGTTATTCTTTATATTGAAAATTTGCTGAATGAAACGTATTTAAAATCTAAGTTTTAATAATAATAAATTATTTTAATTATGATAAATTTTTAATATATAATGCTTATATATTAAATAGGTATAAAATAATATAATTTTTATTATCCTATACTTATCGGATTTTATAAAGAGTTCGAAAATTATGAGAATGCAGTAAATGATAACATGTAAATTAGAATATTTATTTTATATATTTTATGTTTTCTTTAAATTTTTCTATTAAATTTTATATTCATACAAATATAAGAAATTTAATATATAATGCTTAGCTTTGAGGCTATATTTACGAAGCGATAATAATTCAACAAGGTGGAGAATGTGTAAATATAGACCGATCTAGCTATAACGCTACAAACATCATTTTTATTTTGATAAAATTTCTTATTATCTACCTTGAATTTTTTACTTTCTGGCAGTAAAAAGTAATTCGATAACCGTGCTAAAATTCGGAACATTGGACGCCATGCCACATAATCTCTCTCACGACTTAGGTAACTTATAAGATCCATGAATACGGAGAGATCTAGTTGTTCTTCCAGCAAAAAGGCAAATGTATCATCGATAATTTGAGCACGATTGAGAACGTGTATGTTCGTGTATTCCTCAGAATTCAAGTAACTTATGATTCTTTCCAGATTTATGATATCGTAATAGACACGACAGTATGCTGACGAATTATCCATTACATTTATTATTAAATCTTTTTGTTTAAATTTATCAAGATCGAAATATTGACATTTTGTTTATCGTAACTAACAGACTAATGTAATGTGTAACTTGAAAATATTACATATAAGTGAAGAAATATATACATATAAGAATAAAATTATTATTAATAACTCTTCTACATTAATCAATTAGCAAGAATTTGGAGAATTTAATCATATAAATCTCTCTTTAAGCTTTTCTTTAATAAAAAAATACATAAAAATTCGAATAATGTAAAAAGCTCTCGTGATGATAAAACAAATAAGATAAAAGAGCGTAATATTTATTGATTCGTACCAGTTTGTTGTACATTGACGATAATCCAATTTTTTGTACTAATTTCCACTCTACTAGTTTGATCTGGTCCTAACCAATTATTAGGCATAGTATTGGAAAAATCCAAATTGCTCTGGTCGGCGTAAGTCATGGGTATCCACCATTTATTATTGATACTTTCTGTAGCGCGGACATTGCGGACACATTTTTGTGTTATTGCCACTTCGCCAGTTGCGTAATTTATCGTCACGTTTAGCACAGGATAAAATTCTTGGTTCATCCACGTATCCATCACTTCTTTTATTTTGGAATCTTGTTGTTGCATATAAGGGATATAAGGGGCCTCCTCTAGAGCACTTTGCATGGCGCTCCACAAATCGTCGGGAGTAACCGATCCAAACTGACTAAATTTGCAAAATAACATAATCAAGTTATAGTATATACGTCGGGGAATATAAATTTACTGTTAAAGAATTTTCGTAAA